CTAAGCTCTCTCTCAATCTTTGTAATTCAGTTGCCTCTGAAAATGTCTTGAATAAAGACGAAAGGTAAGGTTCTCCATTGTTTCCCTTTTTCCTGTGTGATTTGATTAAGATTTATCTTATCCACTTTTCCATTGTGGATCTACATGATACAGTACATTCGGCCCTTAGCATACGCGGGGGTTAGGTAACAGAGATACCTGCGAATGTTAAGAATCTGCGTATTTTGCCCCCAAAAAAAAAACACCCCTGGCTCCCCATGTTCTTATTTAAGTAAAGAGAAACACTATGTACATGTTTACAAACACTTTATTTAATATTAAAATGCAAAAAGAGCTATAAAAACAATTAATAATGTACTGCCTTGAATCCTGGTGCACGGCGTTCTTCTTGGGCAATGTAAGTGTGCTGTGGCATCTTTTTTTAGAACAAACCTCTTGGACAAGAAAATAGTACACCCTGTACTGTATTGTCCATATACGGTATCAAAATCGGTATAAAAATATTACAGCACACTGTATGGTTACTGTATAAAAATCGGACGCATTTATCCCGTTTTCTCTTACAACACAATATGTATAGTACAACAGGTACTTAAGCATTTTTTAGGTTAAATGTAATTTATTGTCTAACCTGTTTCGTCCATATTCCAAACTTGCTCTGGCTTGTATCCCTTCTCGATTATTGCTTTCAACTCTGCTGGGAAAGCTTTCTCAGCCTCGGTGTCTGCTGACGCAGCGTCCCCAGTCATCTTCACATTCTTCAGGCCGAATCGGCGCTTGAAATTGTCAAACCACCCCTTGCTGGCTTGGAAAGGTGTCGGAGGTGTCTCAGGTGTGGGGGTAGCAGCACTGGTACTGGGTACGGGTTCCTCAGCTGCAGGCGTGAAGCGTTTGTGTAGGGACTTAGCTTTCTCCCGGATAACGATGGAATCCACTGCTACGCCTTTCCAGTGCTGGTCCTCTATCCACAGAAACAAGGCATTCTCCATCTTCACCATTGCCTTGTCCCTCACTTGGCTGGTATGCTTAGCACTGCGTGGAGTACTGACACTTACTGCAGCACAGATATCTTTCTTCTTTTTCTTGATGGTACGTACGGTGCTTTCGTTCACGTTGTACAGTCGCCCCACAGCAGCGAACGACATTCCCTCCCATAACTTATTCAGCAGCTCCACCTTCTCCTGCAGAGTCATCACTTTCTTCTGGCACTTAGGGGTGGCTCCAGCTGGTGTTTTTGATGCTCTCTTGGGGGCCATGGTAAATGTGGGTAGCAACTACAGTGCTGATGTCAACACAAGCGTGGTTACAGTGAGACTGACTGACTGAGGGAGCGCGGGAACGCAGGGTGGCGTGGCGGGCGATGTGTGTGTGTGTGTGTGTGTGGTGTGGCAGGCAGTGTGCAGTGTGTGGTTTCGCGTGCAATTTGAATGTATATTCCTCCAGCAGCAATCCGCCGACTGTATATAAATTTTTTATTTTTTTTTACGGGGATTAGCCCACCCAGGCACAGGTCACTGACCCACATCGGGGCCTGGGGGCAAAAATGTAATAATAATAATAAAAATTAAATAATAATAATAAAAATTAAATAATAATAATAAAAAATAAATAATAATAATAATAATTATTCATTGTAAACAAAATTTATAATAAAATAAAAACAAAATTTTAGTTTGCCCAATAGCCGCTACGCGGTACTTTTGATGTTTGGCTAAATTTGGCCTTATTTACCCTACTTTTTTGGCGAATTACTACCTGTAATGAAACAACATCCTAATAAACCAACAAAAATAACACAGATAAAGTTAAATAAAAACTAAAAACAACACATTGGCTGTCCTTATGTTTTGAACTTTACCATCACTGGTGGGTAGAATTTTTGTTTTAAATTCAGGAACATTAATTAAAATATACATGAACAGTAAATAAGTGTTGCTTTCACATTCTTATGTAGAGTAATGACGATATGTTTTCACATGTGTGCACTTACATACGCGATCTCACTTTTTTCTTTACCATTAATGGTTAGCTACTTATATTGTTCCATTTATTAACAGTAAATAACATTACAGTATAGTCTGCATTTATGCAGTCAATTGAACCCGTGGAAGTCCGCGTAAAACGAGATACGCGTAAACGAAATAACAGATCATATGGGATGAATTGAAATAAGAGACTGGATCGACTCCCAAACTCCACTTTTTCCAACACAATACGTAAGTTGCAGTAAAAATAAAATATTAATTTTATGATGGTATGCACAATTGCACACACAATTAATATTTAAGAGAAATATTATTGATATTGATATTAGGTTTTTTAACACTTAGCTAGTAGAAAAGATGGCTGGGCACACGGGGATGGGGGGTTGGTTCCGAGGCAGAGGGCAGATTATTGGCCCTCACCTGTATCACTTGTATCAATTGTATCACTATCCACCACAGAGGCTTGCAGGGCCTTTTTGTCAAACCTCTCAAAGTCCATATCCTCACTATCACTATCACTGACTTGGGCCGGCTGTGGTGGGTGGTGGGTAAAGAACTGGGTAATGTTTTGATGACTGGGCGACCTTGTGCGCACCCTGCCTGCGCCGCTTCCCGCGTAAATGACCAAATTTACCTCGTAATTAAAGCATTTCATTCTGGCAAGGCACCGCGTAAATGACCAAACGCGTAAACAAAAACCGCATAAATCCAGACTATACTCAACTTAAAACAACCATATTAATTTTTTTTGCATTAATTTTACTACAGCTACAACCAGGATCTTATTTTCTTCAGTTCTATATGTAGAACTGGTTTTGTAAACATTAACGAAAACAATGCCGTCTCGTTTCCTCGTGTGTTTTATTATGCTACTTATTATTAATGAATTGTATTGTTCATTTTGCACACATAACATTGATTCAATCAAAAAGACATTCAGTAATAAACAATAATGAATTTTTTGTACATAAGAGAAATGACACTGTTTACACGATTGTGCACGTTTGAACGTTGGCGGGCCGCTCAAACTCGTCAAAATTCAAGTTTCTGCCGTCAAAATTTTAAATTGTGTAGTGTTTTTTTGTGTGTCCAAATAAAAAACGTCGAATTAAAAACTTGTGAAATTTGAGAACCTACTGTACAACATTTAACCCTTCAATATGTCTTCAAAGAGATCACGAAGCAGTGAAAGTGGTGCTAGTGTTTCCAAGCATAAGCACAAGTCAATGTCTATCCAGGAAAAGGGTGAATTTCCATGGTCCGGAAATTTCCATATTTGTAGCAATTGTGAAGAGGCTTCATCTCTGGTGATGAATGTCCTTTTGGGCATTTTCTTCCAGAACAGCCCAGTTTCATCCACATTGAACACTTGCTGTGGAAGATAATTTTCTTCCTCCACCAGTTTCTTAAATTCCACTACAAACTTTGCTGCTCCTTCTTTAACTGCACTGGCAGCCTCACCATGCCTAACAACACTGAAAATGTCACTTCTTTTCTTAAATTTTTCGAACCAGCCCTTGCTGGCCCTAAATTCTTCAAACTCTGTGCCAGAAGAACCAGGTTGATCTTCCTTTAAATGTTCGTATATTTCCCTGGCTCTTTCACAAATAAATTCAGTAGAAACTGAATCACCTTTCATTTGTTTTTCCCTAATCCAAATAAGAAGTAACCTCTCTGTTTCTGCTATGAATGATCTACCTATAAACACTCTGGTAGATTTGTCTCTCACTTTCACTTCTTTGAACTTGTCTTTTTGTGCAAGAATTGTCGACACAGTTGATGCCGACATGCCATATTCTTTACTAAGCACATTTGTTCTAATGCCTTCTTCATGTTTCTTAATGATTTCCTGTTTCACTTGAATTGAAATCGCCTTTCTCGATTTCTTTGGAGCCATGCTGGATTCAATACAGTAATTTCACCACTAAAATTTTAAGTTCACTAGCAGTAATTAAAGATTATTTTCTTTAAATTAACACTGCACTGCGCTATATATTATCAATATGTAAAATAAATTTCAGAATGACCAATAATTGTACTGTAAAAACATAAAAATAGTTTATGTTCAAGAGAGTCTCAAGCAAGAGACACAAACTGACGCCATTCTGGGTGAGTCAGGTGGCTGTTTGACGTGCTAAAAACTAGTTCCTTGTACTTCAATTATGTTAAATAATTGTTAAAATGACTAAAAAATTTAATATAAAACTTGGAAAATTATTGAATAGTACAACCTTCTTCATATTTACTCAAATGGTAACGATTTAAGCCCTAAAACCAATTACTGTATTGGCGGACTAATATTCCAGCTGTTGAGCAGGCGAAAACATGTTGAGAGGAATTTGTAAGAAATTCGTTTACCGAATTTTTTTCATTAAACGAGTTGACGATTTTTAAGGAAGGTAATTCGTTAACCGAAATTTCATTAACCAAGGCATTAGTTAACCGAGGGATCACTGTAAATGTAATTTGTAACAACATCTACAAAATATGAAACAGTTGTCGTAAGGTGTGTTGGTGGTGGTCGAACTAGCAACGATAAGGCTGCTGACCAGCTGTGATAAGCTGCTTCCGGTAATTTCCAACAAAATTGATGTCACCATTTAAAGCAAACTTTTTTCTTATTATTTTCCCACCCAAATCAACTACTTAAAGAAATTGAAAATGTCAACTTCTTTGGTACCTTGGGGGGCATAGCCATGAACAGGTTAAGCCTGGTAGTTCTAGTAAAATAAGGCATTTTATTGGGGAGCCCTTGAATTTAAGATGGCCCCTCATTGTCCGACATTAATTAACCTTCCTGTCCTCCTTCACTACCTACCTCACATAAGGGGACGTGTTGTAAACCACTTGCTTTCAAGGGGTGTGTGTTGTGTGCATTGGTACTTCTCCTTAACATGTCTTCTGGTACCTAACCCAAATTATCACGATGTCACTGTACTGATGGATGCATGTATCATTCTGCTTTACTAATAGATATTGATAAATTATTTAATTTGAATTATTTTTATTGTGCAGGGAGTGAGGGAAGTCGCTAGTGCTGGTGATACCTCAGAGTACTGCCTTTTGGATGTTGAGAACCTAGATCTGCAGCTTGTGCGGGGTGCAGGAACTGCTGAGTACGCACAAAATGTACAAGAGTTGAATATACTCAATAAATTGTGAGTAGCAATCCACTTTTACTGTGCTGTATTTGTATCATGTAGTATGCAGTGATATTCCCATTAGCCAGAAGAATTGGTGCAAAGCTCTTCTGGGGATAAGAGATTTCCAGATAACAAGACCACTTCTCAAACTCAGAAAAAATCCCACATCCCCAAAATTTTCCGGGTACTGTACAGTGAACCCTCGCTTTACGCGGTTTCACTTTACGCGTTTCTACATTTACGCCGTACCCTGCCAGAACCGGAATTCCCACTTTACGCGGTGCATCTACTCATATACGCGGGTGAAGTATAATTTTTTTATTTAGCTCATAAAATTCATACAAATTATCCAGCCAGAATATAATTTACATTGCTGGAATTCTTACAATTTGATGATCATTTTCAATATAAGCATCATAGATTTTGCATTAGACATACAAATTTTAGATCTAATGCAAGTATTTTGTTTACTCAGAGCAAATATGTTATCTTTTGTGCAAAATATATGACGTGTATATTCAAAATATTCCTGGTCTTGCAAGGAATCCAGCAATGTCAATTATATTATCCTAACTTTAGTCTGAGGTATTATTTATTACTAAAAATGTAAATATACTGTTATAACCCAATCATTTCTCTGGTAGGGAGGGAAGGTGGGGGTGAGGGGTAGGGAGGGAGGGAGTGAGGGACCCAGGGAGCAGGTGGGAAGAGGGGGGAGGTGGGGTATTTTGATTGACAGATAGTATTTCGGTAAGTAGGCTATATTTTGTTTATTTATTGAAGAAATTTGTTTTAGCTCATAAAATTCATACAAATTACCGGGCCAGAATATAATTTACATTGCTGGAATTCTTACAATTTGATGATCATTTTGAATATAAACATCATATATTTTGCATTAGACATACAAATTTTAGATCTACTTTAAGTATTTGGTTTACTCTGAGTAAATATGTTATCATTTGTGCAAAATATATGACATTTATATTCAAAATATTCCTGGTCTTACAAGGAATCCAGCAATGTCAATTATATTATCCTAACTTTAGTTTGAGGTATTATTTATTACTAAAAAGTTAAATACAGTATTCTGGTTTTCCCACACATCTCCTTGGGACGGTTGGTGGGGGGTGGGGGGGAGGGAGGGACCGACCGACCATCTGTTACCCTGTGAAGAATATTTTTTTTTTTATTAACTGAAGATATTTGTTTTAGCTCATAAAATTCATACAAATTACCCGGTCAGAATATAATTTACATTGCTGGAATTCTTATAATTTGGTGATCATTTTGAATATAAACATCATATATTTTGCATTAGACATACAAATTTTAGATAAAATGTTTTCTCTAAGTAAATATGTTATCTTTTGTGCAAAATATATGACATTTATATTCAAAATATTCCTGGTCTTTCAAGGAATCCAGCAATGTCAATTATATTATCCTAACTTTAATCTGAGGTATTATTTAATACAAAATGTTAAAATTTATTTTTTTCACCCACTCTTTCTCTTGAAGGGAGGAGTGGTGGGGGGTGGGGGGGGAGGGTTGGGACTGACCGTGCGGTTGGAAGAGGGGGGGAGGCAAGGTGGGGTACTTTGATTGACAGATAGTGTCGTGAAGAATATTTTTTTTTTATTAACTGAAGATATTTGTTTTAGCTCATAAAATTCATACAAATTACCCGGCCAGAATATAATTTACATTGCTGGAATTCTTATAATTTGGTGATCATTTTGAATATAAACATCATATATTTTGCATTAGACATACAAATTTTAGATAAAATGTTTTCTCTAAGTAAATATGTTATCTTTTGTGCAAAATATATGACATTTATATTCAAAATATTCCTGGTCTTACAAGGAATCCAGCAATGTCAATTGTATTATCCTAACTTTAGTTTGAGGTATTATTTATTAAAATTTAGTGGTTTTCCCCCAAAAATTTCTCAGAGAGGGAAGAGCCAGCGAGTGTAGTGTGAGAGAGGGAGGGAGTTGAGTCCATTATTTGAATGGACATTAACTTGGCGACTGTATTTCTCTTAAGTATTAATTGTGTGCATGTACCATCATAAAATTAAGATGTTATTTTTACTACAACATAGGTATGTGCCTTCAAAAAGTGGAGTTTGGGGGTCAGGCCGGTTTCTATTGGAATTAATCCCATATGTTCTGTTGTTCACTTAACGCTGATTTCACTTAACGCGGGACCCTCTGGGGCGACACGCACGCACACGCACGCACGCACGCACACACACACACACACACACACACACACACACACACACACAGAGAGAGGTCCTGTGGTATAACGAAATTCGGTTAACAAATTACCTTCCATAAGAATCTTCTTCAAGTTAACCCATTAATGCCCAAATTTTTTTTCTTTAATTTATTACCAAAAATCTTTTTTTATACAACTTTATTTGATACTAAATATATAAAAAAAATTTATTACAATATTCTAAGAAAAAAATACATTTTTAGTTTGGTCCTTTTTCTTAGGACCATGGGCATATGGGGGGGTACTTTTGTTCAAAAAACAGGTTTTTTAAAGTAGAATACTTGATTTCAAAAAGGAAAATAAAAATAAAAAAGCACTCTTTTATTTATTTATTAATCCAAATGAAATGCATATTACTTGAAAAAAAGAATAAAAAGTAATTTTTTTTTCTGAACAATCTAAATACAGATTACTTCGAATGCCATTTGTTGAAACATTCACCCATATGAAGACCAACATCACATTTTACACATTGTTTTGAAACTTTTTTTTGCAAAAGGCACATTTTCTTTGTTTCCCTCCCTCTGTTCTATCAAGAATATGTCCAGTAGTAGAAAATCTAATTTCTGGTATTACTTTTGAAGAAAATACCTTTGGCCGTCCAGAATTTTTGGGATCAGAATCTGAGGATAACTGCAAATAAGCTTTTGTAACTGACCTCTTGAAATCTAGTAATGTCAAAGTATTTCCATTTGCAAAACAATATACAATCCAGGAATTAACCATTACAGTATCAAGGAAATTTGTGAATAGACTAAAGTACCACTTCTTAGATCTAACAGAGATGCGATACCTTTGGATAAGCCAGTCTAAGTGGTCCACTCCTCCCATATATTTGTTATACTGGGATATGAGAAATGGCTGAGGAACAAATATTTCCTTTCCATGGCTGGTTGACCATCTTTTAGCATTTCCAACAGAGGTGGCAGACTGATGATTGCTTGCAATTGTGAAAACGCTGTTGTCATGCCATTTCAAAAAAAAGAGTTCTTCCTTTTCTTCAAATTTGTAGTCATAGGATCCACGATTTTCCTTTTTCAGGGATTTGTCATCCTTCAGGGGACATCTGGATGTTCTGTTTGAACGTACTGTACCCGTGATTCTGATTCCTAAGGATTTCATTTGTACAAATAGGTTATAACTTGAGAAAAAGTTATCAACATAAATTTCATGATCATTGGGGTTCTCTAGGTGATTGGTCATTGATAAAACCACTCTTGAACCTAGACTGTCAGCGTTCTTGGTATTGGAAGTAGGATTTTTTTGCTTTCCTTGATATAAATCCATTCCAAAACAATAGGCACTAGTGGCACAACATGGCACCCACTGCTTGAAACCAAATCTTATTGGCTTACCTCTTATAAATTGTTTTAGAGAGCTTCTTCCATAGTATCTTACTATTTGTCCATCTACTGTCTATACATAGAAAATGTTTTCAGCATAAAAAAGTTTGCCTTGCAAACCGTTTTCTCTTTTATGCAACATCCATAGAAAATGGAAAAATGGAGTCCTAGTGACCATGGTCCTTATTTTGGGACCAAACTTTTAGAGCATGCTATATTTGAGCAAAATTACTTTCAAAGATTTTCTTGACTTTATAGGACAGTTAGAACATTCATTCATACTATATACAAATATGGGTTGGATATAAGTACTACTTACCAAAAAATTTTTGATTGAATAATAGATGAAACTGAGTGTATCCTTTCCCTCAAGAGTTTCACACTGTACTGAAAACTGAGACATCAGTGTTGCCAATATACATCAGACAGTAGGTGTAATATTTGAAAGACACTCCAGTCTTGATGACTAACTAAAGATATCTCAGAAAAATACAGGTGTTGCAGAAATATGATGAATTATCCTTCTGGTCCTAAAAAAAGGACCATGGGCGCTAATGGGTTAATGAAAAAATTTTTGATTAACGAAATCCTTACGAAAATCATATTTTGTTTTGAACATCAGCTGATAAGCTGAGGAGGTACTCAGCCAATTCAGTGATCTCTTCTATGTTTACATTCAAACTAATCACTATCTTATAAGAATTCCAGCAATGCAAATTAAATTCACCCCAACACTTCTATTAAATTTTATAAGTAAAAAACAAAAACTCAATCTAAAAGAAAAAATTAACTAACAATTAAATATTTCACACCACAGGTGCCAACTGTCAAACATGTCACTGTCACCCCTCCCTCCCTACCCACCACCCCCACCTTCTTGAGAAACTTTTGGGTAAAAAGACTAAGTTTACAGGTTTAAAAATAAATTATACCTCAGACTAAAGTTAGGATAATATAATTTGCATTGCTGAAATCCTTGCAAGACAGGGAATATTTTTTAATATAAACTTCATATATTTTGCACAAAAGATAAAAATTTTGCTCTCCCTAATAAAATTCTTAAATTAGATCTAAAATTTGTAAGTCTAATGCAAATTTTAGCTTGTTTATATTCAAATTAATCACTATCTTATAAGAATTCCAGCAATGTAAATTATATTCTGGCTTTACTTAGCATATACTTTTGTGTGAGCTGGAACAAATTATCCAATATCCCATTATAACAATGCTTTTGGTGAACAAAATTTTCGGTTAACGAACGACCTTCTGGAACGAATTGTGTTCGTAAACCGAGGGACCACTATGTATATATATATATATATATATATATATATATATATATATATATATATATATATATATATATATATATATATATATATATATATATATATATATATATATATGTATATATATATATATATATATATATATATATATATATATATATATATATATATATATATATATATATATATATATATATATATATATATATATATATATATATATATATATATATATATATATATATATATATATATATATATATATATACTACACTACATACATACATACATACATACATACATACATACATACATACATATACATTACATACATACATTACATACATACATACATTACATATATATATATATATATATATATATATATATATATATATATATATATATATATATATATATATATATATATATATATTGTAGATTACAGCAGACTGAAGAATGGAGATTGGAAGGCTTACTGCTTCAAGCTCGAAGACGAGCAGAGGTTGAAGAGGCTAACAGACTGCTGGGAGCAGTCCACAGAATGCAGTTACCATCTGCTATACAACTACTTCAGTAAGTTCATTGTTTTTTTAAACAATCAAAGACTTTATCTTTTCATATGTATTTTGTGCTATTTTCCTTTTACCACTATACAATAGAATGGTCGAAATGAAATTCCTTGTTGTGGCCTCAGTCACACCAGATACATTAACAACCATCATTGAGTGGGCAAACTAGCTCAGTTAAAATACTTCCAGATAATTAGCACTCTAATTATAGTAATGAAACAATATCTGAACACAAACTTAAAATGACTTTTAGGCACAAACTTAACAAATTATAATTTGTTTTGATTAGTTAAATAACACTAGTTTAACACCAACTTAAAAACCAACACTAAAATTGCACCACATAATGATCACTGTCACTCTATACACCAGCTGACAATACACCAATAATCTTCATCCATGAAACCATAAACAGATGTATGGGCAGACAGGCATTTCCTTCCTTACTCCCCCATTCCCTCATATATGAGCAGACAGGTAAGCATTTCTTCCATCTCTACATCTCCATATATGTGGGCTGACAGACAGGTAGCTCCTTCATCCCTTCGTCACTGTATGTGTCAACTGACAGGTAGCTCTTCCATCCCTCCCTCTCTGTAGTGTGAGCTGACAGACAGGTAGCGCCTCCTTCCATACATCTCTGTATGTGTAAGCTGACAAATAAGTAGCTCGTTCGTCTCTCCTTCTCTGTATGTGTGAGCTGACAGGCAGGTAGCCCCTCTGTCCCTACATCTCTGCATGTGTGAGCTGACAGACAGGTAGCTCTGACATCTCTGTATGTGTGAATTAATGGTTTATTGAAAGAACATGGCAGCCAGAAGGCTAAAAATATACAGTTACATAATTGGGGAATGGGTCACGTGATTGACAAATAATTTGCAAGTAACATAGTGATACAAATATGATATACAATAACAAGATGGGAAGAAGGTCATTCTACAGGGCATTTTAACTTAGTAACAGTGCAAAAAGGTAAGATTGGCTGTGAGTGACCACACTGGTTGATTACGAGTTGTTGATAATTTTTACAATGGTTGGGACTGGGCTGTTCTTATATCGATCAGTGCCTGCTTTTATGGGCTGGATGCAGTTGTGGTGTCGAACAGCTATTCGCAGAGGAGGGGTTTCGGGTGGAAGTAGGAGCCGGTGTTGTGGATGGTGCAGAAGCTTCTCACCAAATTTGCAGATGAGGTCACAGTGATGATCAGAGAGAACCAAGAGAGTCAGTGTGTTGAGCACTTGATATGTAGAGTAGAAGGGATAAAGAATAATCTTGCATGCCCTCTTCTGCACTTTTTCTAGGTGTTTCCATTGTGTGGCATTTTGGTAGGAAGACCAGACAGGTGAGGCATAGGTGAGCTTGGAAAGTATGAATGTTGAGGCACTGAGGAGCTCGGGCGCAGGAACTCCGAGGGACTTGAGTCGGCGGAGGAGGTGGAGACGAAAACTGGAGGATTTGACAATTGTACTGATTTGTGTTTTCTAATTTAATTTGTTATCTATAGTGATGCCAAGGAGCTTAGAGGAGTCCACAACCTGGAGTGTGTTGGGGCCCAAAGTAATGGAAGGAGATGATACAAGGTCAGAGGAGAGGTTGATGTGCATAACCATAGTCTTGGTATGGTTGATAGTGACATGGTTGTTGGTGGTCCAATTTTGGAGATTGTTCATTATATTCTGGAGGGCGTTTTAGTCGGGAGCCGGGTTGTCTTCCCATCTTGGTGTCTTGGGGGAAGCCACGGGTGAGTGACTGAAAAGTGGAGACAGCCCCTTGGAAGCATACGGCTTGGCGTCAGTCACTAAGGAAGTCTGTAAGCCTTGGTATAAGGCTTCTCCGAAATCCGAAGTCGATAGCTTTGTTGATGATTAAATTGTGGTCGACTTGGTCAAATTCTGTGGTGAACTCAATGAAGGCAACAGCCATAGATGTCTTAAGTTTTTCCAGATGGTGATATATGTAGTCGAGAAAGCTGACAAGACAGTAACTGTTGGAGGAATTTTTCATATTGCCAAATTGCTGAGGATCTGTGGTGTCTGCAATATCAGCATAAGCCCAGTCATTTTGTTTGACTGAGGGAAGCATTGATGATGGAGCAGAGAGGTTTAGAAATTTCTTCGGAGAACTCCTTGTAGAGTTTCATTGGTAAGTCAATGGGGGTGGTGGAGCGCTTTAACTTCAGGTTGTCCAAACATTTTGTTACCTCAAATTCTTCCACTAAGTCAGTTGGAAAGGGGGCTGGTAGGTAAGCAGGGATACTGGTTGTGTCAAGCCGGGGGAGCGTCTGGCATATAGTTGCAAAATGGTTGTTTGATTGCTCAGCTGCATCACCATTATTGTTTAGTCCACAGAGTTTTTTAAGCTTACCATACGACTGACTGATGTTGGTCTGCTTCAGGTGTTGCAGCTTGGTTGGGTAGTGGGATTTCTTTGCAGTGCGTATTTCACAGATGACCTGGTTGTGAAAGGACATGTAGCGGGCAGTTGTGGTCAATGAGAGTAAAGACACTGTCTCTCTGCTGCTTAATTCTTTTGATCAGGGGTGTGATCCAGGGCAAGTCAGCTTGGTGTGATCTGATGGACTTCTTGGGGAAGAAGTAGTGGTGAGCTTCCATGCTGGTGTTGGTGTAATTTATCCATATGGTGTCCACGTCATCCACACTAACTACTTCAGTCCAGGGATGGTAAACTATCCACTGCCTGAAGAGACGCACTGCAGAGTCAGTAATCGGCCTGTAGATCTTGATATAGGGTTTCTGCACTTGGCTGGCAGTGAGAATTGGTGACCAGAGCATTGATAGGTGTGTGCTACACCCAATAGGAGGCATTGGATGGGGTGGTTGATACTGGTCCGACATCTCTGTATATTATTTTTGTTTTTTGCTGTTAATTTTCCACAGCATCCTCCTTCCAGTGACTAGATATTATTAAAATAAGTTGAGTGAAAAAACTTGTGACCCAGTAGCATAAGGAGTTGGTCAAGAATTTATGCTCGGTCGCTATCTCTCTTTCTATGAATTTCAGTGTATAACAGTATTTATTTATTTGGGGAGGGGGGATGTGGAGCAAGATTATTGGTATAACTTTTGTATGGTGTGTGCCATATTTGTTTATTGACAACATTTATTAAATTTGAAAATAAATCACTTACAGGCAGCAAGCTAGAGAGGCTAGTGAATCCCTCATGATTGTAGAACAAGAAAGAAGACAACAACGTCAAGTTATGCAGTCTCTAATAACAGAGGTAGCACAGCTGGAGAACACAAGAACTATTTCAGGAAACTATCAGCTTAAATGCCAGAGGCAAGAATATTTTCTTGATAAACAGAGGAGTGTAAGTTTTAAAATTGTTTACTATTGGTATGCGCGTGGAGATATAAATGGTCTCTATTTCATGTTAGGTCTCTCTATTTTTTCCAAAACATTTCCTGGTACTGTATATTGCAGGGTGATATGAACCCAGATCAAACCCACTTCTCATCTATACACTCTTATTGCTTTAACTCTCCGTTTATTTTTAAATTCTGCGTCATTTTTGTCGTTGTTTTTACTTTGAACGTCACTCAGATATTCAAACAAACCATAATAAGCATCTGTGTTAACGCTCATAGGAGCGTTATTGGTTCCTGCTGGATAATAAGACCCTTGTCGTTGACTCGGTGGGTATAATTCAAGTCAACGACAATGGTCTTATTATCCAGCAGGAACCAATAATGCTCCTATGAGCGGTTAACAATTAAAATTACAGAAATCTAGCTCAACCCAAGCCAGGCCTGAATTTTTTTCCTAGGTCATACAGTGTTCCTGGCGACTCCCGTACCTCAATCATACCATATGAATGTACAGGACATGTACCTATACAGTGGTCCCTCGGTTAACGAACACAATTCGTTCCACAGAGTCGTCACGTTAACCAAATCTATTATTTCAATGGGATATTGGGTAATTGGTTCCAACTCACAGAAAAAGTACATACAAAGTACTGTATACCGGTAATAGAATTAACAAAACATTAAATATAAACAAATTAAAGTATTGTACTGTACAGTATACTGTCCAATAAAAGATAAAAAACAATAGAATACTGTATTTTAACTTACTTTGAGGTGTGTATGTCGTATTCCCGGCAGCTTTGTTTACATATCAAACAGCTGATTGTAGAGGCAGTCGATGATGACATGCCATATTCTTTACAGAGTGCATTGGTTCTAATGCCTTCTTCGTGTTTCATAATAATTTCTGCACTGTATATTATCAATTTCAGAATGACTGATAATTTTAGTTTAAAAATTCAAAAATATTCAAAGTGACCAACAAACTGGATGTTCACTCCACTGTAAAAAAAGTTAAACTGAGAAGCATTGTTGGGTGATTCAATCAGCTGATTGGCCCTCAAAAACTGTTCCCTGTACTATATATATTATCAATATGTAAACCAAATTTCAGAATGCCTAATAATTTTAGTTTAAAAATTCAAAAATATTCAAAGTGACCAACAAACTGGATGTTCACTCCACTGTAAACAAAGTTAAACTAAGAAGCGTTGTTGGGTGATTCAATCAGCTGATTGGCTCACAAAAACTGTTCCCTGTACTGTATACAGGTGCTCCCCAACTTACGACGGGTTAGGGACCCAAATCCAGGTCGTAAGTCCGATTGGTCATAAGTCCGACATAGATAAAAAATAAATTTTAAAAAAAATTAATTTTTTTTTTCTAAAAAAAAATCTACAATGAAATACAGTACAGTAAAAGTAATAAATAATGAGGAATGGATACAGTACAGTAAGAGTAATAAATAATGAGGAAGGATACAGTGTGACTGAGCACTTACCTTAAATGTAGTCAGCTGAATGCACAGGGGGCCCCCATAATTTTCTATTTACAGGATACATGGAGACTATATTAATTGGATGAAGCAGAGGAGGAGACAGGGCTGGGTGGGTCATCAATGTCGCTTTCTTCAGACAGGTTTATGTACTGTGGAAACTTGCTGGTTGAAGGTATTGGATCATCTTGAGGGAGTGAAGAGGCAGCACTGGTGGGGCGTGAGGAGACAGCACTGGGGGACTTCTTAAAATAGATGTCCAATTTAGACTGTACAGTTTGTTTTTTCTTTTCATTATAAATTTCTCTGTAGCAAGCAAGTGCATCTTGGATCATTCTGTCAACTTTGGCATAACGCTCATAATTTTGATCCATGCCATCAAACATTTGCATTCCTTTATTAATTGTAGCAAATGCCTCTGCCATTTGTTTCACTGAAAACTTTTTGGGGGGTGCAGGTTCTTCTACATTTTGTCTCTCTTCTTCCTCTGCAATTTTCTGTGCATCTAGTTCAATAAGATCCTCATCACTGAGCTCTTCTGCTACACTTTCAACCAACTGTTCAACATCTTCATTATCAATTTCTAACTCCAGCTGTTTACCTAACTCCACTATCTTGTTACTAATATCCAAAATAACTTTATTTTCATTAAATCCTTTGAAACTTTTCACATATCTTTTCAGGATTTTCTTCCATATTCCATTCATGCAATGTTTTGTAACCTGATCCCATGCTGCACTAATGTTCTTTATACATGACAAAATGTTGTACTCCTTCCAAAACTCTCGAAGCGTTTTCTCACCTTCAGTAGCAGCAGCAGCCTGAGCGAAGGTCGTGCGTAAATAGTATGCTTTAAAGGCAGCAATAGCACCTTGATCCACGGGTTGGATGATAGAGGTAGTGTTAGGTGGAATGTAGACTACCTCAACATCAGGGTGCATGTCGTCCAGGTGTGGTGGGTGTCCTGGAGCATTATCCAAAATCAGCAAAATCTTGAATGGAATCTGTTGTTGCAGACAATACTCCTTGGCTCGTGGAATGAAACAAGTCATGAACCAATCCTCAAACAGTGCTAAGGTCATCCAGGCTTTCTTATAACTGCGATAAAGCACTGGCAGTGTGTGCTTGCTGACATGTTTAAAAGCCCTGGGGTTCTCTGAATGATAGATCATGAAGGGCTTTAGCTTGAAACGAGCAACATTCCCCCCCATAAGAAGTGTAATTCTGTCCTTGAATGCCTTGAATCCTGGCATTGTTTTCGCCTCTTTGTGGATGTATGTCCGCTCAGGCATGCGCTTCCACAATAATCTAGTCTCAGCCACATTGAATATTTGCTCAGGCAAATAATTCCCTTCCACAATCACTTAATCTAACTCCTCCTTAAAAGCTTCGGCAGCACCAACATCAGCACTAGCTGCCTCTCCACGCACCTTAACAATGTGTAGACTGTAGCGTTTTTTGAATCTATCAAACCACCCATGACTTCCTGTAAAGGTTTGATCACATTCATCTCCTGCCTGCTCCTTCTGGCTTTGGAACAGGTTTCTTGCTTTATCCTGTATGGTTAGAAGGCTTTAGGGTACACGCTTCTGTATCTGGTCTTCTATCCATATCACCAATAATTTTTCCATATCGTGAATAAGACCTTGTCTTTTCTTTGAAATTATAGTTCCCTTTATAGGTGTTTTTCCTTTCACTACATCACGAATACATTCCTTGTCCTTCAGAATAATGGATATGGTCGAGTGTGAGAAACCTAGGTCACATGAGATTGTTGCTACAATCTTTCCACTCTCATGCTGAGTTATTATCTTCATTTTTATCTCAAAAGTAATTTCCTGTCTCCTTTTCTTTGGAGCACCACCAGCACTCTCACTTTTACGCTTCCCAGTCATTATAAAGTCAATTAAATACGATAATAACGAAAGTTCACAGCGCGATCAGTATAGGATACGATAGCCAAACACCAACTAAGCGCTCCACACAGTGAGTATTCCCACACGGCGACCCGAGCCGCGCCACGCTCTCGCCCGGGACAGAAACGTTTTGGTATAGAAAATGCGCGCATCATTTGAAAATATTTTTGGTCACGACTGCCGAGGTCGTTAGTCCCGACGGTCCTAAGGTCGTAAGTACCGATAGATGTAAGTCCAAGCAGTCGTAAGTCGGGGACTACCTGTATATTATCAATATGTTAACTAAATTTCAGAATGACCAATAATTTTAATACTGTATAAAAAATGCACAAATATTCAAGAGACCAACTTTTTGTTTATTTAGTCCACTGTAAACGAATGTAAGCGGAACTGATTACTGTATTCGCAGACTGGCCGATCAGCTGATGCGCACAACAAAACATGTTTGTCGTAAGGATCGAAGTTTTGTTCGTTAATCGAACCGAAAATCCTTATCGGAGCTAATTCGTTAATCGAACCTTTCATTAACCGAGGGACCACTGTATATGTTGTTTGTATTATTTCAATATTGTAGGTTACCTAACTAAACATTAATTCTACACATGTTACTTTTTTCTTTTTCTTTTTAAATAAACTTTAAAGTTAGTTTTAGGATTTGTGTCAAAATAATATGATAAATAAACCTTGGTATTGATATGAACTTGTGAGAAAAATCAGACACATTTAACTTGAAATTTTACAAATTGCAGACAATTTAGAAATTTCTGTCCATGGGCAGCTATTGATGTCAAGGTGCATAATTTCTTTTGCTTCTCATTTCGACATTACTGTACTGTACTCCTACATCCCACTTCTGTGCTTTACAACCATCAGAATGCTGTAGGTAACATAATTTACAATACAACCAAGTGAACTCATAAATATTAGTGTTAACTGTACCTGTGGTGGTTGTGATGGTCAAGGCATCCATGGTGGCCAGTTATACTACAATCCTTTTAATAGAATCACATCCATCCACAGCACAACCTTATGACATCACCATCCACAACACAACATATGAGGCATATAGAACACAAAAGGCAAACTTGCCACTTTCCCAAGTTTCTGTTTTCTTAAAAGAGCATAATTTCTTTTTTTATTACATTCATTAAAGCTTGTCCGCCAGGCACATGAACATGAAAAATCACTTGCCCAGCCCCTTGTCCAGGGAGATTTGGGCTGCTGCCACTGCTAATCTGCAAGGCCTGAGATTGAGTTTATTTCCATTTACTTGGGTATCTACCTTCCAGGGTTAGTACTGAGATCTACCTTTGTGATTAGGAGCAGTTGTGGTTCAATTTGCAAAGTAGGCTACACAGCACAGGATTCTTCCATCTTTTGTGGGAAGTGGGTGCTACTGTGGCATGCATAGGTCTTTAGGTTAGCCCCAGTTGCCATACTTTTGGGATACAGGTTTGCCCCGATAACTGAAGCATATATGGACTGGGAAAAGTCGTTGGTTAGTGAATCAAAGGCTATCGAAGCAATTAATTCCATAAGAAAATAACAAATTCAGGGGGTAAAGGACTGGCCACCCATTAAACACTCCCATCTACCCATGATATATCTCTGTTGTGCACACTGTCAAGCAAGAAAAGCACACATATAAAGCAGGCATAATAAGCCTTAAATAAGCAATGTAAATTATAAATTGAGACTTATTTACCTGTGTTGAGGATGGTAGAGACAGTCTAGGGTGGCAAGTTCAAGTCTCTACTAATCTTTGTTGGTCTATCACCATTCTTCTTGCACCTTATTCTGCCATATTACATTTTTTCACATCACATAAAGCTGCCCAGCATAAGAGGAACTATCACTGGGGCCTTTAGGCATGATTGTATAACACACAAATTTAAAAAAAAAAAAAACACACGGAAACACATGGTAAGTGTAAACAAGAGCAAAGATGGCAGAAATGGGTCAGAGGCAAGAATTCGCACCATGCCACCACCCACCAAATTCAAAAGAGCTCTACCACTCCTCTCCTGATCGTCAGATCTTCAGGGTATCAACGAAACTTGCAGTGTATTTCCCTTATATGTAATCATCAGTTATGTGAAGCGGCGGTTATTGGAGCATCTGTTTTCGGGGTATACCTGTATATACCTAAGGCAACACATTATATATCAGCCCTCTGAAATAAAATAAACTGAATTTGTTGTTGTTTGTGTACAGGTGATGGAACAGCTAGTGTCACAAGTGGCCAGATACAACTGGATCAACATTGCCCTGGATATAGAGAGAGGGAAGATCACTGGCATCCTGGAAGTTCTGAGCAGTATCAATTCTCTCATTACTCAGAGAAATGCTAGCCATAAGGAAAGAATGGTAAGATAACCAGAGCTAGCAAGCTCTCTCTCTTATATAGATATCTCTCGTTTAACGATCTTTTACTTAGGTATATTTTGGTTTAGCGATATAAAATTTGTTAACACCCTTACTTGTTTAACGATGGTAAATTTTCGGTTTGGCAATGTTCGACTCGCTGGGAAAAATTTGCAAAGGAAGTTGGAAAAACTGGGGATTCTATGCTCCAATTGTGTATCATCACAATGCAGTATACAATAAGTCCTCGCTTAACGTCGTCCCGCTTAACGTTATTTCGGTATTACGTTGCTGAACTTTAGAGACCAAAAATTCATTTAACGTCCCAGTGATCCTATATTACGCAGTTTTGCATCGTCACGAACTACTTTCTACGGAGCATCACCCACTTATCTGGCAGCGCTGCGTTCTCTAGGCTCGGCGCGCTGCCCTCACTCGCAGAACATAACAGCATCCCCAAGCGATGCCAAGTCAGTCTCTGTTACGACTTTATATCATTCGTGTGTGCTTAAGTGTTTTTGCTCTAAAACTGTACTCTAACCATTCGAAATGGCTTCCAAGCGCCCATCAAGTGCTACTGATGCTTGTGTAGTGAAGAGGCAATGTAAGCCCATTACCCTTGCTACGAAAATGGATCTATTAACCCGATTTGAAAAAGGGGAACGTGCTGTGGACATAGCCGCTGTGCTTGGTCTAACCCCCACAACGGTGCGTACTATCCAGACCAACGCTGACAAGATTAAGGTTAGTGCTGGAAGTGGTTCTTCTCTGAGTGCTACTAGGACGACTCGTACTAGAAGCACTGTGATAGAGAAGGTGGAAAAGATGCTGGCAATGTGGATTGCGGACCAGAATTAACGCAATGCCCCTGTGTGCCTTATGGTTATCCAGCATAAGGCCAGATCCTTGTTTGATGACATGAAGGAAACAGAGGGTGAAGGATCAAAGGAAGAGACCTTTACGGCCAGCCAAGGATGGGTTCAACGATTTAAGCGTCGATATAACTTTCACAACATAAAGATGACTGGTGAAGCTGCCAGTTCAGATACTGTTGCTGCCGAGACATTCCTGCCAACAATGGAAGAGGAGTAAACAACAACGGAGGAGGAGCAATCAGCGGCGGAGGAACCCCATTCAGAGCAGGAGGAGGCAGCCGCAGAGTCTCAGTGACTCACCACCCTCCTCCTCTCCTGTCCTCCTCCGCTCCCACCCCCCTCCTCTGCTCCCGCCATCGTCCTCCTTCACTCCACTAGGCACCACACACTCTTTCTACCACCTCTTCCCATCGGTGAGTACCAATACAAACTTGTACTGTAGTTCTATATACTATTTTCTATAGAAGTGGCAATGATTTTCTGTCTTTGTAATGTATTTCATGGGGCAAAGGGAGGCTGAGGAACGTTAATCCCGTATTTTATCTATTTCTTATGGGGAAAATTATCCGCTTAACGTTGTTTCTCATAATGTCGCGTTTTCAGGAACGTAGCCCCAAAGTTAAGCGAGGACGCCCTGTACTCTCGATTTAATAGAATCCAATATAACGAACTCTCGATTTAGCTGAATGCATTTTTTCCATTATTTTTTGCTGGATTTAGTGAACTAGTTTGCTAAATCCAGATTAATTTCATTAATACACTCACACCAAGAAATGTGAGGAATAAATAAAAAAATAAATAACAAATACTGCAGTATTGTGAAATCAGAAAATAAAAGCCAAATGAAAGTTTAACACAGTCTCCATTCGTATACACTCCCTGCTTCACCATAGTAACGAAGACCAGCTGGGACGCCGATTCCCTAGCAACTCACCCCGATCCATACACCAGTCCTCAACCTTTTGTACTGTAGGCTCTGGGCCACATTTATCAATGTAAATATAGTGGGGGGCGCCAAAACTTTGGATCTACATTCAAGAAAAAATATAGCAATGATATCCCCATTAGCCGGAATAATTGGTGCAGAGATTTCTGGCTAACCAGACGACTTTATCAAACCCAGAAAAATTCCTTGTCCCCGGAAACATTTCAGGTTACTGGGAAAAGTTTCCGAGTGTCTAAACTAGACCTCTTGCAACACTAGCCCATTTCCCCAGAACGTTTCTGGGTGCTAGAGATGTTTTCCTTGAGTCTAAACTACTGGAATCCATAAATACAGTTCTAATTAAGTTAAAAACACAATTTCTTTACTATAATAATCCAGAATAGTTTATCTAAAAGTATGGTTAGATAAATATATTTAAAAATCTATAGGATATGGGCATGAATGAAGCTGTATTACAGCAAAGACTGTTATTTTTCACTCCTATGGAGCTGTGAAGGATTAGTGGGTCTCATGTAACTGACCTGACCTGACACAATGTCAGGTGGAGGTAGGTTGGGGGATTAGTGGTCTCATAATACAGTGAGCCCTCGAAGATCCGGACTAAAAGGGGAACCATCTGTCCGGAAAAGCCGATTGTCCGAATCTTCTGGTGAATATACTAAATGTATAAAAACGATAAATAATTATATTAAAAAACACCAAAAATACAATACATAATATCCTGACCACTGGGTTAGTTATATAGACATTTTCCTGTGAAAAAGTCATGATTTTGAGCAACATATTGTATTGCGTAGGCCAGTGAAAGTGAAGGGAGTGCCCGAATAGTATATTAACAATAGTTTTGACCTGAAAATACAATTTGAATAAATTCTAAGATACTTACAGTATAGTCTGCATTTACGCGGTCAATTGAACCCGTGGAGGTCTGCGTAAAACGAGAAACGCGTAAACGAAATAACAGAACATATGGGATTATTTGAAATAGAGACTGGGCTGACTCCCAAACTACACTTTTTCCGACAATACATACGTTGTAGTAAAAATAACATCTTAATTTTATGATGGTATGCACACACAATTAATACAGTCGGCCCTTAACATACTCGGGGGTTAGGTAACAGAGATACCCGTGAATGTTAAAAATCCGTGTACTTTTAAAATTATTGAATAGTATAAACTTCTTGATATTTTCTAAAATAGTAAGGAATTTAAGCCCTAGAACCGATTAATGTATTGGCGGACTGATACTAAAGCTGGTTGCCCGGTCAGTGCAAGCGAAAACATGTTGAGGTCGGTTCGTAAGAACTTCGTTAACCGAATTTTTTTTCGTTAACCGAATTGAAGATCCTTATGGAAGGCAGTTCGTTAATCGAATTTACGTTAACCGAGGTGTTCGTTAAACGAGGGGTCACTGTAACTACCAGTAAACAATGGAAACGACGCACCAACGCACCACCAGCTGTGAGTGTCGGTACAGTCGCCGGGGCAGTCTCTTGCGTCATCATAGCTAGCCCAAAGTAGCCAAATCCATGGTATGGTATACACAGGACGATGTAAAACAAAGTATTCATTTGTTAAAATTTATTTATAGATACTGTACATAAATTTTTGTTCATTACATTTGAAACATCAATATTTGTTAATTAAATTTGATACAAAAGAAAACTACGATACCGTATTTTCATTAAAATATTACATCACAAGTATATTTTATCTTAACTGTGACTGAATGAATATATTCTCAGAAATAAATATGGAAATGTAATATTTTGGCTGAAATAACGTACATATTACTGCACAGTGGAAAGTGGGATAAAATTATGAAAACAATGACTTTCGCTTTCTTTCGTTGTTCAAAAGATTTTACCGTAATCGCTTTTCGAATGGTTTTCAGTTAAAAAACTGTTGTACTGTACTCGTACTGTATTACAATAATATTCTATCCTATCATTAGCCTTATAATCCCACAACTGAAAACCATTCGAAAAGCGATTACGGCAACATCTTTTGAACGAAAGAAAGAGAGTCATTGCTTGCGTCACAATTTTATCCCACTTTCCACTGTAATACGTACATCATTTCAGCAAAAATATTACATTTCTATGTTCTCAGAAATAAATGGTAGTTTTGTTGAAACGTAATGTACAGTATTTAATATTAAAATGCAAAAATAGCTATAAAAACAATTAATACACCCGAAATATACTGGCTGGCATCTCCACTCGTCCCTGCTCCTGCTCCCGCGTCCAAGGTCACCTCACCACTCCTCCCAACTCGCTCCCTCCGCTCCCTCCTCCACCTCTACCTCCTCACCGTCACTACTGCCGACAACAAACACAAATGTTTTGTGAATAACTGCACCTCCACTTCCTATGTACAGTACTTGTACTGAACTGTACTGTGCTGTGCATTTTTACAAACAATAAACATGGCAAGAAAAGCTATTAAAAAAAAGAGATAAGAATTTCACTTTACTGTACCGTACCTCTCCTCGGCGACAGGGCGGGGGTCATCGGGCTCATCATCACTCAATTCCATAACAGGTGGTGAAGTGGGGGCGACAGTGGATTCAGCTGCTTCCTCACTGCCGCCAGCGATTGATGGTGTTGAATCTCTCCTTCGGTGATCAAAGAACATGGTGATGGGGAGTTGTCGTCTCTCTTTTCATTTCTTCCATGATGTTTTTGTATGGAACGAAAGCATCATCCATCCCTCGCATGAATTTCAGGGCACGCACCATGGAGGGGTCCATACTATAGGCCAAGTTTTTCAGTGCCTCAATCATCCTGGTCATCTCCCCCAACTTCTCCAACGTTATTTCTTGGTACGTGTTTTTCGAATCGTTTTCAATTAAAAAAATGTTACAGCACATGTATATTTTACCTAAACTGTGCCTGAATGAATATACAGTGACCCCTCGTTTAACGAACGCCTCGGTTAACGAAATTTCGGTTAACGAACTGCCTTCCATAAGGATCTTCAATTCGGTTAACGAACAAAAATTCGGTTAACAAATTTCTTACGAACCGACCTCAACATGTTTTCGCTTGTACTGACCGGGCAACCTGCTTTAGTATCAGTCAGCCAATACATTAAACGGTCCTAGGGCTTAAATGCCTTACTATTTTAGTAAATATCAAGAAGTTTATACTATTCAATAATTTTAAAAGTTTAATATT